ATAGAGGCTTTGCACCATCATGTGATGGCAGCCATAACAGGAGGTACAACAATAGAGGTTTTGCACCATCATGTGATGGCAGCCATGACAGGAGGTACAACAATAGAGGCTTTGCACCATCATGTGATGGCAGCCATGACAGGAGGTATAACAATAGAGGCTTTGCACCATCATGTGATGGCAGCCATAACAGGAGGTACAACAATAGAGTCTTTGCACCATCATGTGATGGCAGCCATGACAGGAGGCAGGAACAATTGAATCTCGTCTAATCTGATTTAAATAAGAAAGAATTCAGTTTCCCTGGGGAGAACGACTATGCTATTGTTGTGCCTTCTGTCATGGCTGCCATCAAAAGATGGTGTAAAGCCTGTATAGAGTATTGGAAGGTGGAAAGTTATTTCAGTCAAGTTATTTCTATCCAATTATGGAATAGTTTATCGGCTGATCTTAAAAACAAGCAACTTAAAAAATTTAAAATTTAAAAAATGATGTGGAAGAGATATTTCGARGAGCAACCATCATTGCTACGTAATTATCCTCTTGAAATAAAGTCATTATCATCATTATATGTATTCCGTGGAGGTTCAAAGTGTTTGCATTGTTGAAGTTGTGCATTTATTATTTTACCATTGGTATTTGTGAATATTCAGACACTGATATTAGAGTGAAGGCATTTAACCCGTGAAATACAAAATGTTAACATTTAATAGTCAAACAGACACAAAAGAAAACAATGGAATTAGGGTCTACTAAAGTGTATTAATCTAGTATCTATTTCACGGGTTTAATGACTTCACTCTAGGCTAACCCTGAGTAAATGAGACTCTAATCAAGGAACACAGTGGTAATTTGGAACTCAAAAATGGCCTGTTATGTGACGTGACGTGGCGTAACGTATTATATATGTTGAACCACATTCAACATTGGTGTCAGTTACTTCGAAGGTTTATTTTAAACCACATCCACACATCGTGTGAAATATTTTTACTCACCTTTGTAGCCTGATACTTGAAGGCGATAACCAGCACTTTTAACGACAGAAAATGTTTCGTAAAATGCATAATATTTTGAACCATTGGTCAAAACAAGATTAACTAACAGGCTCATCTTGCTACCTGCTAACGAACTAATAATTTTGTTACCCAGCCAAAAGTTTTCCATTTTATTTCCAAATCCGTTTTCGTATTCCAAAAACGTGCGGTTGAAGTCTGCCAATGCGTCCTTTCTTCTTTGGATAACAATCCAACCTCCGCCATCATTTTCTTGGTCACAATAATAATTGCCGTAAATGCCATTTTCCGTGACACCATATCCCAAGAGCCCTGCGCAGATCGTTGTGGAAGTGACAGCTATATCCAACAAGAGAATAGTTAGAAGTTACTCATAAAGACATTCAATCTTATACTGCGAAGCTTGCTAATGTGGAAACCAAAACTTTTTTACCGTCTCAGTTTTAGTCAATCAGAGATCTTACCCTAGGATATAGCCGCTGCGATACGAGCGATTTTTTGCTTGTCCAGGCGCCGCGATTTTTTTAAATCAACCGTACCACCCCTGCACATTCGACACGATAGCTGAAAAAGGTCGCGAGCGTAATTTTTTCGTCGCAATCGCGACGCGACAAATTTTCAAACGTCCTGTCGCCTGTGCAAGCACAAAAATGCTCATGTATACATGTATACAGCATATCACGGCTAGTGAGAACGGTTTTTGAATTCCCTTCTTATTGGTCTATGGCTAAATTAGGTATCTACGGTAGCACTTGTCGCAAGTAAAAGATTTTTAAAGCTGTGCCTCAGACTGGCGAACTAATTACTTGGACTTGAAATGCCGTCCAGTCCTCATTCTCGTCTTTGAAATATTACTTCTTAACCAATCTTTACGCGCGCATTTTCTATATTTCTCCAATCTAAAATTAATACGATTTCTTACGTTTTTCGCAGAGTAGAGGCTTTGAATCTGAGGGCTTTTCTTTCTTCCATCCATTGCTATACTGTGTGGTACAGAAGGGAGATATTGATTGACCTGATGGATCCCAGTTCTCATACGAAGGTAAAGCACCATCGTTCCATTTTTCGACTCCTCCAACGTCACTCAGTCCTAGTAATAAGATTATAATAATATTAATAATGAAATATAATTTAAATAACGTAACATCTTAAAAATTTCTAATTGCGTAACAAAGAAAAATACTATAAAAATATATCTATATAATAATATGCATGGAAATTAAAATAATTATTTAAAAGTAAAACAAATAATAATAATAATAATAATAATAATAATGATAATAAATAATGTTTTTATTTATACTCGGATTTGAGAGTAGCAGACCTCTGATTTCTCCATTCAGCCGTTGTGTAGACGTAAAAGCAGCGTGGTTTCCTTGCCTCAGTTTTTGGAATCGGATTTTTCACTCCTGGGGTCTCATGTGAGCACGTTTTGTGAGGGTATCTTGAATCGAGGGTTTTTCTCCGGCCGAGTAGTCACCAGCTACCTTCCCTCCACAAAACCTAACAAGCTATCTTCAGGTTTAATCTGTGAGTTAGCCCTGCCCTGACTTTTATCAACCCAGAAAGTCGTTACGGGTTCGATTCATGTAGAATTACACACTTTGAGCATTTGATTTCGGAACAAATAATACTAAGGAATGTTAACTCACCAGTGCGAACGCCATTTTTGACATATTCCGTGATAAACTGATCCTTTTTCTTGTTGTAAATTGTGGTCATCTTGGAATTATGAAAATCGCAATGACTCTTGTGAATTGCGCAGTTTTTTGAAATATGAGTGAAATTATAGAAGCAGTTTGTTTGATGGCAAGTTATACCTAAAAAAAAGTAAAAATATTGTTATTGAAAATGATTTACTTATAAAACACTGCGTCAGTAGTGCAGTTTTCGTATGACTGTGAAAAATTCACGGCACGAACACGGCCATGACACGGCAAAGGATACGCCAGACCAATCACATTGCACGAGAATTTACTCTCCGTCCAATCAAATACCCGGAACACGGCATAAACACGGAGCGGACACGGTCACACTAAGGTCACGGCAATGCCAGACCAATCACATTGCGCGTGAAAAAATCAGTCAATTAAAATTCTAGAAAGCATCAGGGTCACGGCACCTCACGCTTACGGCACTGAGCTTTTCACAGTCATACGAAAACTGCACTATAAAACGTAAAACACATACTAAAAATACTAAAAAAATAAGATATATGAACGCGATGTTTCGAGGTGTGCAACAAAAAATGAATGAAAAGGTAACTATATACAGAAAAGCAGACTATAAAGGAATGCAAAGTTACATTATGCTCATTATTATAATTGTAAATAGCAGAAATCCCGACCCTAATTGTAATGACTTTTAATTAAGAATATGTAAACCGACTTCCAAGCATTTTTAGCTTTCTAGTTATTTTTGGAAGTTGGTACCCCTTAATCTGTTTTAACATAAAATAATGTATCAAATTAGAACAAAAAAATGTAATAATGGATACAAATAAAGTTCTTCTTCTAAAAAAGGAAGAAAGACAATTTTTGGTTCCTATATGTATATATTTTCTTTTTCTTTCGTCCACATAACTATCTATTTGTAATATAATTACGACATAGACCCCCTCGATGAGCGTTACGCTCTTGGGGTTAATGTAACGACAAAATATGTTTAAATAAAWAAAAAAAAAAAAAAAAAAAAAAAAAAAATGAAAAAGAAAACGGCGTAGGGAGAACAACTAAGTAAAAAGTTTAGCACCAATGGAATTTTTTGAATACTAAGGCTAGGTTTTATGTCCCTAATGAATAGCATTTCATAAAGAAGGCAGTCGAATTTAGATATGTATTTTTTTAGTATGGAAAAATTCTCATCTAAAGTATCCAATTTAATGCCTTAATTCTTCTCCATAATATACTTACGAATGGCTTTGAAATAGACCTCTTCGGCTCTGACGTAGTGTTTTCCCGTTTCAGACCACATGTCATTCTCTAGAGTATCATTTCTTTGTTTAAGGTTTGCGCATGAGAAGACACATGGATATGGATACAGCTCAAACAAAGAATCTTGTTCTCAAGGGAATGACACGTCGTCTGAAATGGGAAAACATTAACCCAAGCCGAAGAGGTCTATTACCCCAGTTATGTTTAACCGTAAAAAGAGACCTCAGGACCTACACCATTTTAGATTCTGTTCGAGCTAATAATACTCGGGGATTTCAAAACTGCCTACAATAACCTTTTTGAGGTGCTGACACAGGGTGCAACATTGCACGCAACAGGACTGTTGCAGCGTGTGTTTACCCCAAACTTGTTGCACGTAACGTTGCTGGCAACAAATCTGAAGTTGAATCACGCTCTACTCTTGCAACATTGCGCGCAACAAATTTTATTATGTGAACATGGCTGCAACATTACTTCCAACATTTTGAAATTTCCAGCCAATCAGCTTGCACCAAATTTATAACAGCTGACCAAATATCTTAACATAGTAGGCTGACACAAGCGATGTTGCGTGATTTTGTTGCAATGTATGTCACCCCGATTCATATTTGTTGCTTGCAATGTTGCGTGCAATGTTGCACCGTGTGTCAGCACATTTAGAATCTGCATAGATACTGCTGTTTTCCTTGATTTATAGACTAAATGTCCTCAGTTTTCATCTAGTTTTCGAGAAAAAAAAATCCGTATATTTTTGTATGTGGGTCTCTTCCTAGTTTTCACGTTTATTTGGTGTTTTGTTGGTAAATAATCAACAAATATTAAGGTGAAACGTGGGCGTCCTGATTTTTTATGCGATTCCACGTGTGCCCTCTTGTGTATGTCATCTCTAGCCAATCAGCACAGGTATTTATGACGACCAATGGGATTCTAGGAGTACTGGAGTACTGACTTAATGAGTGTGAACAAAAAGACACGGCGGCCATGTTGGTTGATAAATCAAAAAGAGAATAATGATATTCAAATCTTTCGCAAAATTCAACTGACCTGGCGGCTGTGAAAATCTGAAACAAGAGTTCCTTACCTCGTTTACATATTGATAAATCAGTATTCGTGTTATAATTATAGTGATGCCATTTGTAATCTGAACCAACTCTTTTTAGGATAAAGCTCATCGATGCCGTTGTATTGAACCAGTTTGCTTTATATTTGTATTCGCTTCCATCAACCCAATAGACAGTGCCATCTCTAGAAGTTAGGCCTATAATGAAAGACACACGTATGGCTGCAAATGAATATGGATACCAAACAAATAATCTTATTCGCATAGAAAATGTCGAGTTCAATGAGCCTTTTCATAGTTTAAGAATCGATTCCACTGCGCATGCGATTTTATCCCGAATTTCTCACCTTCTTTTGTTTGATTAAGAACAAAAGAAGGTTTAGACAAAAGAAGGTGAGAAATTCGGGATGAAATCGCATGCGCAGTGGAATCGATTCTTAAACTATGAAAAGGCTTATTCGGAATCGATAGATACGAGGATACGACGACTGATGTTTTGAAATTTTGTCAAAATTGGGACGAGCCTTTAGGCGAATCCAATTTGAGAACTTGAAAACATGACGAGATACCGTAAATCCTCTATTTAGCCCCCCCTCTCAAATAAGTCCCCCCTCTCTAATAAGTCCCCCCTTTTTAAAGGAAGAAATTTGTTAAGCCCCCCTCTCTTTTTAGCCCCCCTCCCCTCCCCTCCCCCTTCACAACTAAAGAATCACGTGTACTGATTAAAGGTAATTTATTAAAGTCTTGATACGGTATTTCACTAACATAACCACAACAGTTTATTCCTCATACAAAACTTACTTCGTTTCGATTAAAAACCACCCCTCTCAATTAAGCCCCCTCGCTCCAATAAGCTCCCCCTCAAACGTGCCTGAAATGAATAAGCCCCCCGGGGGGCTAAATAGAGGATTTACGGTATATCAATTCCGAATTTTCTAGAAAGATCGTGCGAATTTTTGTAATACACTCAACAAAGAGTGCAGAGTAAAGTTTACGATGTTTTTCTACTCTACTTGTCTAATCAGAATCATGTAATTTTGTCGAGTGAATTATAATTAAGAGAATGACATGGGATGACATTATCTGAAACATCGATTACGCTACTTAGGCCCCGTCCACACGTATCTGGAAATTTTCGTATCCGCAAATTTTGTTTTGCGGGTACAGGTTGCATACACACGTGTCCGCAAAATTTTTGTGTTCTAATCTGCAAATTTTACGAAAACGGATAGTGTGGATGGTGAAAACGATTCGAATACGCTGCGTGTGGACGCAAACATTTTCGTATCCGCAAAAAAATAATTTGCGGATACAAAAATTTCCGCAATACTTTCAGTACTAGTTCTGCATAAAGTAAATAGTTGATTGGTAAAATATTTCTTGATTTGAGTGATGCGTCTCTAAGTTATGAAGGTTTATACTTCCAATACGTTAATGATGATGACGTCAGGTAAGGTAATTGAGTGTTTTTGTTGTAACTAGTGATACTAAATGCACTGGCTATTTTGAAAATAATGAGTAAAATAATGATGCTTTTTAAATACTGTATCTATGAACCAGTTCGATTTTGTATATTTAGTTAAGCCTTAACAGACGTCACACTCATTAACATATTGGAAGTATAAACCGTCATAACTTAGAAACGCATCACATAAATCAAGAAATATTTTACCATTCAACGATTTACTTCATGTGGAATCAGTACTGCAAGTATTGTCGAATGTTCATTTGCACTTAAGGTTTAGGTATTCACTGGTTTCGTACGACCCATAAAGCATTTCGATTTGGCTTTTTATGATGATGATAATGATGGTGGTGGTGATAATGATTATGATGATGATGATGATGATAATGATGGTGGTGGTGATAATGATTATTATTATTCTTATTATGATGAAGATGATGGTGGTGGTGATAATGATGATGATGATTATCATTATTATTGTTATAATGATGTTAATGATGATGATGATGATGAAGGTGGTGGTGATAATGATGATGATGATTATCATTATTATTGTTATAATGATGTTAATGATGATGATG